CATGTTTCTATCAACCCAGAAAGTTTGCTCATGTCCCTTCCTAGTCAAACTCGACTCTTACTCCCTCCCCAAGAGACAACCACTCTTTTGATTTTTTTCTACACTTAGTTAGATTGCCTGTTCTAAAATTTCATTTAAATAGAATAATATAGTATATACTCTTTCATGTAAGTCTTCTTTCACTCAGCATATTTTTGATCCATCCATGTTGTTGTGTGTATCAGTAATTTGTTACTTTCGCTGCTGAATAGTACACCTATTCCTCACTTACTATCTCGTAATCCAACATTTCACATTTACGACAATAGTAAAAAATCTACTCTCTACTATCTTGAGCATTAATGGCATACGTCTGGCAGTAACAAATGCCGAGGTGCAAGGTGAGAGCAACGCTGGCTGTGATGGTTAAAGTATGTATCAGCTTGGCTGAACCATCATTCTCAGTGGTTAGGCAGTTATGTAATGATGTAATTTGGCAGTTATGTAATGATGTAGTCCTCTTCCATTTTGTGATCTGATGTGGTCATCCTTTATTTTCACATAACACTGATTTTCATATAACAACCTGGTCTTTGGAAGCTATCCATGTTGGTAAGCGAGGAGTGAGTATATTGCATTGAGGAGCTCTGGTGGCACAGTGGTTAAGTGCTTGGCTGCTAACCGAAAGGTCAGCAATTCGAACCCACCAGCTGCTCCATGGGAAGCTTTCATAAAGATTACAGACTTGGAAACCCTATGGGGCAGTTGTACTCTGTTATGTAGGGTTGCTGTGAGTCGAAATCAATTCAACAGATTTGGTTTTGGTAGTACCGCATGAATATACCATGGTCTCTTCATCCATTCTCATATTGATCAATAGCTGGATGTTTCCAGGGTTTGAGTATAATGAATAAAGCTGCATGAACATTCTTCTACAAGTCTTTTTTTGAACACATTTTCATTTGTCTTGGGTCAATATATCTAGGAGTAGAATTGGATAGGCATATGTATGTGTCATAGGATAGGTATGTTTACTTTTATAAAAAACTGCCAGACCTTTTTCCAAAGTGGTTCTACCGTTTTACATTCCCACCAATAATGCGCTAGTTGCTCCACAAACTCACCAATATTTCAAGATGCCAGTCTTTTAAATTATAGTTATTCTAGTGTGTATATAGTAGTATCTCAATGCGGTTTTATTTAGCATTTCTCTGTTGACTAACTGATAGTGGCACTTTTTCAGGAAATTATTAATTACTCACATATCTTATTTTGTGAAATGTCCATTCATATCTTTTTCCAATTTTTAATGGGATTTTTGTCTTTTTATTATTCAGTTGTCCTTCATCACAAATATGCATTTTCTTCTACTCTGTTTGCTTGCCTGTTTGTTTTTTTTAATGGTGCCATTTGATGAGCAGAAGTTTTTAATTTTGTTCAAATCTAAATTATCTCTTCTTGCTTTTATGATAATTGATTTCTGTGACTCATCTGAGGAATCTTTGCCTACTCCTAAATCATAAAGATATTCTCCTATGTTTAACACTTAAAAACTTTGTGGTTTAGCTTCTACATTTAGGTCTATGAACCATCTCAAATTAATTTTTCTGTATATTAAGAGATGGGGTCAAGGTTCATATTTTTCTGAATGGATATACAGCTTTATACATAATAACCAACAACGGGAAACCACCCGGGTGCCCATCAATAGGTTAATGAAAAGAACAACGGTAGTATATTTATACAACAGACTACTACTCAACAACAAAAAGAAATGAACTACAGATATAATATGTATGAATTTCAAAAATATTATGCTGAGTAAAAAAAGCCTTACACAAAAGAAGATACACTGTATGATTCCACTTACTTCAATTTCTAGAAAAGAGAAAAACTAATCTATAGTGGAAACAAATGAGAACAATGGTTGCCTCTGAATGGATAGGGAAGAGAATTGGAGTGATAAAGGACATGAGGGAAATTTCTGGGGGTGATGGTAATGCTTCATATCTTGATAAGGGTTTGGGTTATCCAGTTGTATGTATTTCTCAAAACTCATCAAATGGTACACTTAAGAACTATACATTTCATTGTATTTAAATATTTTTCTCAAAAGAAAAAATATGTCAATAAATATTGAACTCCAATTAACGATACGCATGCTGAATAACTTAGAGAGAAGTGTACAAATGTCTGCAACTTGGTTGGAAATTCATCAAAAATATAAGACCAATGATAGATATGCAAAAAAGAAAAATGTTAACAGTAGAATCTAGGTAGTGGGTATATTCATTTCCTATCGTTGGAGTAAAAAATTACCATAAATTCAGCGGCTTAAAGCAACACAAATTTAATCTCTTATGGTTCCAGGGATCAGAAATCCAAAATGCTCTTGCTATACAAAAATCAAGGTGCCATCAGGGCAGCGTTTCTTTTAGAGTCTCTAGGGGAGAATCTGCTTCCTTGCCTATTCCAGCTTCCAGGGGCTGCCTACATTCCTTGGCTTATGGCCCCTTCCTCCAGCTTCAAAGCCAACAATGTAGCATCTTCAAATCTTTCTCTCTGACTATGACCCTTACTTCCATCATCACATCTCTTTCTCTATGACTCTCTTGCCTTCCTCTTTTAAGAACCCTTATGATTATACTGGGCCCACTCAAATAATTCAGAGTAATATCCCCATCCCAAGATTCTTAATTTAACATATGCCTAGTCCTTTTTGTCATGTAAGGTTACACATTCACAGGTTCCAGGGATTAGGATGTGGACATTTTGGAGGAGCCATTATTCTGCCTTCTACAGTGGGCATATGGGTGGTCATTGTTAAATTCTTTCAACTATTACATATGTTTGAAATTTTTCTAATAAAATGTGTGGGAAAAATTAAAATCCAGGATTGTGGATAAAGTGTTGCCATCAGGGTAAAAGTGAAAATCAATCATTGTCTTTTTCTAATCAAAGGGAAGAATTTTTTTCCCTTTCTGAGAAAGATCCGTTTCAAGGAGGGATTTTATTGAACATAGCATATATTCTTGCATTTGGTTATGAAAAACATTTAAAATACTTTATTTCTGAGACTCTGGGTTTAAATCTGAAGAGCATGTTGTCAGTTCCTGTTGCAAACCTGAAATTTTTCAGAATAGATTTTTAAAGGAAGCATATTTTTCAGGTTGGAAATATATAAATAATTAGAACAAAATATGTTTGAAACAGAATATAAATTTTTAAATAGTGACCCAAAGTTGTTTCACTTGGAAAAGATAATATTTTAAGCGAATTTTACAAAAATGGCTCTTTTTAATGATTATCCAAGGTACCTTTTTAAACAGGGTTTATTTTTCAAATAGACTTTTGTTATACTAGTAATAAGTAGCTTTAGACAGGATGAACATTGTGGCAATTAAGTTTTCTTTTTATAACAATAAATTTCAATATTTTAAACTCTTAGAACAAAGTTCATATTATAACAAAAATGTTGTTTCAGATCTTTTTCTCTCACTTACAGTTTATTTTTAGGAAGTTACCAAATTTTATTGACTCTTCTTTCTGCCTCTTTTGTCTTCAGTCATATGTTAGCCCTGTTCACCTCATCTCTGGATTATTACTGCAATAGGCTTATAGTTTATTTTCTTCTCTCCAGAGTCTTATCTGCTCCACTCTATCCTATACAGAGCAGACAACACACTCTTCAAATTTAAACCCAGAGTCTCATAAATCAAATATTTTAAGAACTTTTGCACAGTATAGATCTGCTGAAACTGAACATCTTTCAGTATTTGATACTAGATATGTCCTTTTTAAAAATCCTTCTGTCTCAGGGTTATCATTTAAAAAATAAGGATATTTGCATCTCTGAGCTCAAAAATGCTTACTATGTATTTATTTTATCAGTTAATCATCATGTACTGCCCTGTTTCACTATTTAATCATTTAATAGGCCCCTATCTCATACCTTGGCAAAAATGTAATCTCTCCAAGAATAGTTCTTTTTTATCAGCCATTGTGCATTCCTGAGCACTCAAAAAGTTCCAGCTGACTTGTCAAATATTTAACAATCTGAAAGTCCCTGTTCTATTTTTTACTTTAATTTCCAAAGTCTTCTTTCCCATTCCCTGATCATAGACTTAATTTGTCCTCTTCTTTTTTACTCCATTATTTGGACTGTATTTCTTATTTTTCAAACAAGTAGCTATTTTGTTAGGCCTTTTTTTTCCCTTGAAAAATTCATTGAAATGGAAAATCAAAAAAACTGAACAAAACCAAGTTCTCTGATTAAAAGAAGTATTTAAAAAGGTTTATTAAGAAAATGTTCTGCATCCCACCTTGGTGAGTGGCGTCTGGGGGCTAGCGAGCAGCCATCTAAGATGAACAATTTGTCCCAACTCACTTGAAGCAAAGCAGAATGAAGAACACCAAAGACACAAGGAAAATATTAGCCCAAGAGACAGAAAGGGCCACATAAACCAGAGACTCCATCAGTCTGAGACCAGAAGAACTACATGGTGCCCGGCTTCCACCAATGACCTCCCTGACAGGGAACACAACAGAGAGATCCTGATAGAGCAGCAGTAAAGTTTGGAGCAGAACTCAAATTCACATAAAAAGACCAGATTTAATGATCTGACTGAGACTGGAGGAACTCCCGAAGCTATGGCCCCTGGACGCTCTGTTAATCCAGAACTAAAACTCATTCCCGAAGCCCACTCTTCAGACAAAGATTAGACTGGACTATCAAACACAAAATAATATTCACGAAGAGTGTGCTTCTTAGTTCAAGCAGATACGTGATACCAAATGTGTGGCTCATGTCTGGAGGCAGGATGAGAAGGCAGGAAGGGACAGGAGCTGGTTGGATGGACACAGGAAACCTGGAGGGGAAAGGAGAAGTGTGCTGTCACATTACAGGGATTGCAATTAGTGTCACATAATAATATGTGTATACATTTTTGTATGAGAAGTTAACTTGAGTTGTAAACTTTCACCTAAAAGCACAATTAAAAAAAAAAAAAAAAGATGCTCACCCTTCTCATACGCAATTCTTCTAAGGCTTCCAGTAAACTTGTTTTGAAATCTAATAACTGAATAGAAAATAATGTTTCTGAAGAACTTTGAAGAGCAAAGGATGATGATGACTCAGTATTGAAATTGTTCTCCATATTAACATTTACTTCCTGTAATATAAAAAGATTTTAAATGAAAAAATCAATTATCTAGGTTTTTCAAATAAAAGCATAGTTACTATAAAAATGTAAAAATCTGTATCACATAATCTTCCAAGTTCACCACTAAGTAACAGTTTAGTCATTACTCCGACCATGATACACAAAACCCGTAGCAACAAAGACCTTATTTTGTTCCTCTGTAGTTGAGGCCTTTTCTGGTACCTTAGTGCCCTCCAGGAATAAATTTTTTGTCCCTAAACACCAGTCTCCTTAAGGCTGAGTTCCTAATGTTCAAGACAAGTCTTGGCCCTTCACTAATTGCTTTCCCACCAAGCATTGGATGATAAATATTGTGCTTCCTAAACTTTGCCTTGACATAAAGCTACTTCTCAAGGCTGGTGCAAATATTAATTAATAGCAATGTAATCTTGAAACTCAACAAAGTTGGAAGAGATCTGGAGTAACTGCCTTTTATTAAAAACCAAGACAATTAAATATCTTTCCCAACCGGAAACAAAGTTGGAGGACTTGCACTTCCCAATTTCAAAACTTACTACAAAGATAGAGCAATCAAAACTGTGTGGTACTGACATGAGGATAAACAGGTAGATCAATGGAATAGAACTGACAGTCCAGAAATAAACTCTTACATTTATGGTCAACTAATTTTCGACAAAAATGCCAAGACCATTCATGAGGAATGAATAGTCTTTTCAATAAATGGTGCCTAGACACCTGGAATCTATATGCAAAAGAATAAAGCTGAACTCCTGCATCACAACGTATGCAAAAATTAACTAAAAATGGATCTAAGGCCTAAACGTAAGAGCTAAAACTCTTAGGAAAAAAGACGGGAGTATTTCTTCATGACCTTGGATTAGGCAATGATTTATTAATTATGACAACTAAAATACAAGCAACCAAAGAAAAAAATTACTTGGACTTCATCAAAATTAAAAAATTTCATACTTCCGAGGACATTACCAAGAAAGTAAAAAGACAATCCACACAACTGGAGAAAATATTTGCAAATTATTAGACAAGGGACTAGTATCTAGAATATATAATGAGCTTCTAAAACTCAACAATAAAAACAAATAAACAACAACAAAAACCAATTAACCCAAATTTTAAAATGGGCAGAGGATTTGAAGAGGTATTTCTCCAAAGAAGATATACAAATAGTCAACAAGCACATGAAAAAATGCTCAATATCATTAGTCATTAAGGAAATGCACATCAAAATCACAATGAGATACCACTCCACACCCATTAGAATGGCTATTATCAAAAAGATGGGTAATAGCAAGTACTGGCAAGGATGTGGAGAAATTGGAACCCACATACATTGTTAGTGGGAATATAAAATGGTACAGCCACTTTGGAAATAGTTTTGGCGGCTCCTCAAAAAGTCAAAATAGAGTTACCATATGGCCCAGCAATTCCACTCCTAGGTATCTATACCCAATAGAAATGAAAACATATCCACACAAAAACTTACACGTGAATGTTCATAGCAGCATTATTCATAATAGCTAAAAAGTTGAAACAACCCAAATGTCCATCAGTCAAAGATGGATAAACAAAATGTAGCATAACCATACAATAGAATATTACTACAAAAAAGAATGAAGTATGACACATGCTACATCACAGATAAGCCTTGGTAAAAAAGCACAGAACAAGCCAAAAAATTATAAAACACAAAATAAGATCATATAGTCACACTCAAATATCTTGTTAAATGTAAGTAAATATTCTAGTTAAAAGGCAAAAAAAAAAAAAAAGATTGGATTTTTAAAAATCTAACTTTATGGTTTACAAGAGACTAGTGTAAAAACATAAATATACAGAAATGCTGGAAGTAAAAGAATAAAATACCTTCTTCACAACACTCACAGATGTTTACAAAAATTGCCATAAAGCAATCTCAACAAAATTTCAAAGAACTTAAAGCATATAGACGATGTTACCAAAACAAGTAATCAAAGACAGTATGTGAATGAAAAAATTAAAGGCTAATCTAACTTGTAAAATTAGACGCAAATTCTAAACAAAATAATGGCATACTGAACTTAACAGTGGGTAAAAATGATGATATATCTTAACCAACTTTGGTTTATAACAGAAATGTAAGGTTCGTTTAACATTAGAAAATCAACTACTATAATTCTCTACATTAAGATATTAAATATACATATATAAATATATATAAAATCATAGATGACATTCCTAACACAATATTAGATTTCTTGGATGGCTATAAAGGAGAATATCCTTGTCCTTGATTTTTAGGAGATACACGCTTAAGTATTTCAGAGTAAAATGTCATGATGTATGCAAATTACTTTCTCTCTCTATATATATGTATTTACATATATATATATATATATACATACTAGCAAATATAGCAAAACTTTAATAATTGGTGAATCTAGGTAAAGCATATGCTATAGGTTCAAATGTGTCCCCAAAAAAAGATACGTTGGTTGAAGTAATCCCTTTACCCGTGAACGTGATACAATTTGGAAAAAGGGTCTTTGAAGATGTTATCAGATAGATTAACGTGAGATAATACTAGAGTAGGGTGGATCCTAATCTTATATGACTGGTGTCCTTATAAAAAAAGGAGAAAACAGACAGAGACAGAGGAAGGATTCCATGTGACACTGCAGCTGAAAGCCAAATAATGCCTGGAGTTACCAGAAGCTAGGAGACAAGCACGGAAAAGATTCTCCCCCAAAGCCTTAGAAGAAACAACATGGTGGACACCCTGATCTCAGACTCCTAGCCTCTAGAATTGTGAGACAATACATTTCTGTTGTTTAAATCCACCCATTTTGTGGTACTTTGTTAAGGCAGCTCTATGAAACCACTACAGGGTATAAAGATGTTGGTTGTTCTATTCTTTGAACTCTTCTAAGCTTTGAAACTTTAAAAGATGAAACATTGGGGAAAATGAATTATGTACTATAATAAAAAAGATAGTAAGTGTTGGCAAGGATATGAGATAGTAGAACCCTCATAAATCCACATACTCTGCTGGTAGGAAAGTAAAATGGTGCAACCACTTCAGGAAACACTAGGGCACAGTTTCTCAAAAGGTTAAACAGAGTTACCATATGACTCAGCAATTCCATTCCTAGGTACCCAAGAGAACACTGTATACAAATATTCACAGCAGTATTATTTATAATAGCCAAAAAGTGGAAACAATCCAAATCTCCATCGACTGATGAATAGATAAAAAAAAATGTGGCATACTCATACAATGTAATGTTACTCAGCAAAAAAAAAGGAATCAAGTACTGATAAATCTACAGCATGGGAGGACCTTGAAAATATAGTAAGTGACAGAAGCTGGTCACATAGTGTATGATACCATTTATATGAAATGTCCAGAATAGGCCAATCCATAGAGCCAGAAAGTATATTGGTGGCTGATTAGGGCTGGGGGAGGGAGGATAGTTGGGAAGGAATAGGGAGTGACTACTAATGGAACAGTTTCTTTCTGAGGTGATGAAAATGTTGTAAAATTGATTGTGTTGATAGTTGCACAACTCTGTGAATATACTAAAAACCACTGACCTATACACTTTAAACAGATGAATTATATGGAATGTGAACTATATCTCATTAAAATTGTTATTTTTTAAAACAGAATGATACACTAAAAAATTAAATGGAAGCTCTAGGGGAGGAGCTTATTGACTAATAGGCTTCACTATTGGGTGAGCAAGTGGCAATGCAATCTTTTCATTAGGGAGCCACCCTTCACCCCAATGTCAATATGTAGAGATCTTTTCTCCCGGGCCTTTCATTTTCTCCAAAGAATTCTCCATTCTCCTGTCTTAGAGTGCAAGAGGAGAGGGTAGACAATTTAACATGGTAGTATGCATTTTGATAAAAGGGTGATGGATAGGAGTTAAGGATTCCACAGTTCAGTGGGTAGATTTTTACTCAATTTTCATGTTCAGCCTCATACCTCATCCCTGCCATCTACTGTGTCTGGCGTACTCCAGACAGAACTGCCATAATTCAATTTTTTCAGAGCATGAATCTTCCATCTCCTGTGGGGAAAGAGACCTGGGAAGGTTCAAGTATTCCAGACATAGATTTTCAACAAACCTCTCATATCTCTGACTTTCAGAGTACTTGGTGCTTCCAAACTTTTAAATCAATCACCACTCCTCTATTTGCTTTCTGATGGATATGGTTTAATCATAGCATTCTCTCGTCCCTGTGAGTTAATACCCATTTTATGCATTTTAGTGAGAGGAAGAAAAATAAATGTATGTGGATAGTCAATCATGTTTAACTGGAAGGTTCAAATGTGATTTCAAAACTCATCTGCTATTTAATTATATAAACTCCACTATGCATAGAACAGGTGCCCTGGTGGCGCAGTGGTTAAGAGCTCAGCTGCTAACCAAAAGGTCAGCAGTTCGAATCCACCAGCTGCTCCTTGGAAACCCTATAAGGCAGATCTACTTTGTCCTACACAGTCGCTATGAGTTGGAATCGACTCAACGGCAATGGGTTTTTTTGGTTTTTTTGTTTTTTTAATGCATAGAACATGAGGGAAATGGTAGTTCAGTGGTAGAATTCTCACTTTCCGTGAAGGAGACCCAGGTTCAACTTCCAGCCACTGTACCTGAAGCACAGCTATCACTCGCCCGTCTGTCAGTGGAGGCTTGCGTGTTGTTATGATGCTGAAAAGGTTTCAGTGGAGCTTCCAGACTAAGATGGACTAGAAAGAAAGGCCTGGCTATCTACTTCCTAAAATCAGCCAATGAAAACCCTATGGATCACAGCAGTCCATCACAGCCAATCACGTGGATGATGCAGGATCGGGCAGCATTTCGTTCCATTGTGTATGGGGTCCCTTTGAGTCGGGGGCCAGCTCGACAGCAGCTAACAACAACTTGCATAGAACAATACCTTGCAAAATGTTGGTTCTCAAAAAGATACATGATGAATTGTACAGAGTAGTT